CATATATCTGAGCAGAGTCAGGGTTAGGGTAAGGTAAGGGAAGCCCCGGAGTTAATGCAAAGGAGGGAGAGCCAAAGGTCTCAGCTATCAAGCTAAAAAGCACTTGGTTAAAATGTGTCTAAAATTAAAAATTAACCCGAATAAACGAACTATCCAATATTTATAAATTGTTCCTTCAGAGTATGAAGAATGGCCTCAGATGGCACAGACTTTATTTAAATTTTTGAAAAGTGTTTTATGTGTATGGGTGCTTTGTCTGCTGGCATATCTGTATTAGACATGTGCAGGAATGGCCATCAGATCCACAGGAACCAGAGTTACAGTCAGTTGTGAGCCACCATGGAGATGCTAGAACCGAACCCGTGTCCTCTAGAAGAGCTCTTAATGCTGAACTTCTCTCCAGTTCCTGGCCTTCACTTAAGAAAATTTTGTTCAAGTGTGTATGTGTGTCATGCAAGCATACACATATGTGTGAGGGTGCACTCTCGTGTGTGCCTATGGAGGTCAGAGGTTGATCTCACTATGGTCTCCTCTGCTGGTCCCCACCTTATTTTTTGTGACAGGATCCCTCCGGAGTAAGGTCTCTTACTTTCAGCCAGGCTGACTGGCCTGTGAGCCCCTGTGACCAACCTGTCTACCTTCTCAGGCACACGCCACCAAGGCTGGCTTTTTACATGGCGGCTGGGGATCCAAACTCAGGTTTTCCTGACTCTGAAGCAAGCACTTTAACCCACCTCCCCAGACTCTGTTCGATCATCTAAAACTACTGTACATTCATTGCGCAAACCAACATGCACCATGAAGTTTTCATGCATAGATAGACTGTGCTAAATTATATTCATCCCTTGTCGCCCACTGATCCCATCGGTGCCTTCTTCTCCTTGAATAGCATCCCTTCTACTTTAATGCCTCTGAAACAAAATTCTACATTTTATATTTAAGAGGAGATAGGTGATATGTGCCTTTCTGTGCTGACTTAATAAGTGATTAACATGATCATCTCTCCGTTATAGTCGAAGACTATGTCATCTTTCCTCCATTCGTGTATACATTGTTGGATGCCTAGGCTGATCCCATGACTCCACTGCTGTGCACAGCGCCATCATAAACATGGATGCGCAGGCATTTCGGTCTTATGTGGACTTTGCTTCCAGAAGCAGGATGACTGTATCACATGGAAGTTATTTTATTCACTTTTATATTGATTTCCAGAGTAGGTGAACTAGTTTACATTCCTATAACAGTATATGTTCCTTTAAAAATTACTTATGAATATTTATTATTTTTATGTGTATAGATATTTTGCCTGCATCTGTGTCTGTGCAGCATGTGTGCAGTGCCCACCAAGGCCAGAAGAGGGCGCTGGATCCTCTGGGACTGGAGTTACAACCTTGTGCATGCTGGGAACCAAATCTTGGTCCTCTACAAGAACAGCCAGTGCTTTTATTTATTTATTTTTTTTTTGAGACAGGGTTTCTATGTGGCTTTGGAGGCTGTCCTGGAACTAGCTCTCGTAGACCAGGCTGGTCTTGAACTCACAGAGATCTGCCTGCCTCTGCCTCCCAAGTGCTGGGATCAAAGGCAGCCAGTACTTTTAAATGTGAGTTATCTCTTCAGTCACAAGGGTTCCTTTTTACCCATGTTTTTGCCTGCCTTTGCTTTCTTTTGACTTTTGAGATAAGTGCACTGTGTAGTACAAGCTAGACTTGAACTTTCCATTCTCCTGCCCATGGTGCCATGCCTAGTCAATTACTTGGTTTCTATTTTTAAATTTTATTTTTATTACTTTTTAAATCGTGTGTGTGTGTGTGTGTGTGTGTGTGTGTGCGCACGTGCACATGCCCACATGTGTGCACATATGAGTGCAGGTGCCCAGAGGACAGGAAGTGTTGGATTCCCTGAAATTGAAGTTAAAGATACTTGTGAGGTTTTCATAAGGGTGCTGGGAATTGAACTTGGGTCCCCTGGAAGAGCAGTTAAGTACTTATCACCACTGAGCCTGTCTGTTTTCTCAAGAAGAGCCATTCTTACTGGTGTGATATGGAATCTCAACATACTTTTGATTTGCATTTCTCTGGTGACTAATTGTGGCTATGTGCATTTTTCATGACTTTATCAACCATGTATTTGTACTTCTTTTGAAAATTCTATTGAATTTTTTGATTGATTGGGTTACTTGTTCTTTAGGCATTTAAATTGTTTAGTTCTTTATATTCTAAATATTAATTTCCTATCAGATGAATAGCTGACTGAAATTTTTTTCTTAGTCTTCAGGCTTCTCACTCCTGTAATTGATTACTTTGTTGTGCGACTTTTTAACTTGACATAATATCATATGTCAGTTATTTGTTTATTTATCTATTTGTCTATTTACTATTTTTAGACAAGATCTCACCATGTAGCTCCGCCTGGCTTGGAATTTACCATGTAGTCCAGGCTGGCCTCAAACTCAGAGATCCACCCTTCTCTGCCTCCTGAGTTCTGGGATTAAAAGTGTGCACGTGGCCTTTTAAAAACGTTTTCCCTCGTTGGCCCCCACTCATGCAACTGCACAAGTGTGGAGGGCAGAGGACAACTTACAGGAGTCAGGTTCCCCTTTCCAGCCAGTGGGCCCAGTCATCAGACTTTGGAGCAATCGCCAACTTGACACAAACCAGAGTCATCTGGGGAGAGGGAGCCTCAACTGAATCAGAACTGCCTCCATCAGACTGGCCTGTGAACAAGTCCTTGCAGCATTTTCTTCATTAACGATGGATGTGGACGGGCCCAGCTCACTGTGGATGGTGCACCCCTCGGCAGCAATCCTGGGTTGTGTGACAGAGCAGGCTGAGCCAACCGGGAAGCAAGCCCGTAAGCAGCGCATGGTGGTCTCTGCTTCAGTTCCTGTCTTGACTTCCCTTAGCAGTGGAGCATGAATGACCTGAGAGTTACAGCTGAAATAAACCCTTTCCTGCCCTCATTGTCGATGGTCATGGTCTTTACCACAGCCTTGCTCTTTCCGTTCAAGCTTGCCTTGGCAGTCCACGGTCATTTGTGCTTCCATGTGGATTTTATAATCATTCTTCTATTTCTGTGAAGAGTGACATGGGAGTTTTGATGGGAATTGCATTGTATCAATAAGTTGTTTTATAATATGACTTCTTTCACAATCTTAATTCTGCCAATCTGTGAACATGAGGAGTCTTTACACCTTCTAGTACTTTCTTTTTCGTTTTTTTTTTCCTTTTCAGTGTTCTACAGTTTTAGTGTAGAGGTCTTTAACATCTTGGGTTGGTTTGCTGTTGCTATTATTTTGGGGTTATGAATGAGAATGTCTTCCTGACTTTTGTTATTGTTTTGTTTTTCTAGACAGAGTTTCTCTGTGTAGCCCTAGCTGTCCTGGAACTCACTCTGTAGACCAGGCTGGCCTTGAACTCAGAGATCCTCCTATATCTGCCTCCCAAGTGCTGGGATTAAAGGCATGTGCAACCACCACCCAGCCTGATTTCATTTTTAACGGTTAATTATTAATATACAGAAGTTAGTGAATTTAGGGCCAGTGAGATGCCTCAGTGGGTAAAGGCTTTACAGCAAAAGCCCTCTGACATGAGTTTGAGCCCTCCAGCCTGTCAGGTCCAAAGGAAACTCAAATCCCAAATCCCAAATTCCAATACCCAGAAATGGGAGTGGGCTCACCTGAACTATAGGAAGATTTCTGGCACACAGGCAAAGGCCAGCATTCCTCGGGAACTTATGAAGCCTGTTCTTCTGCCAAAACGGGTCATTTCCTTATCTCTGGAATGAGACATATGGCTACTATCCATGGTGCTCAGTAGCAGGCTTCCAGGTTTCTTCAGTATCCTAAGTACCTGTTATATCGTTCAAAGTTCGTGGTGACATCCTGGCTCTTCTCACCTCCTCCAGATCGCCAGCTTCCCTCCTCTAGCTCCTCATTCTCCTTATAACCCTGCTTTCTTTCCTCACTACCGTCTGTCTCTGTCTCTCTCTCTGCTTCTCTGTGCTTTCTTGACTCTCTGTCTCTTGCTATTCTTCCCTCTCTCACAGCCCTGGCCAGGTCCGATCCGCTGGCCATGTTCATTCTACTTCTTTCTCTCTCTGCTCTAGACTTTTCCAGATGCCTCTCATATCTAAAATGAAAACATTCCCCTTAATCACACCACAGATGGTCATGCCATCAGTTTATACACAGCACACATAGTGGAAGAAGAGTCTGATTCACACAGGGTTTTCATTGGCCTCTACACATGTCCCATGGCACCCCCACCCAAATACACACATGTACTTGCATATACCCACACAGATAAATAAGTAAAAATATAATTTAAAGAGAAGGTAAGTGTGGGCATGGTGGCTCCACCCTCGAATCCCAGCCCTGGGGGGGGGGTGGTGGAGGCAGGAGGATCAGAAGTTCAAGGCCATTCTCAGCTACACAGTGAGTTCAACTGGGCTACATGAGACTTTGTCTTTAAAAAGACTGAGACAGGATGGTCAGTCAGGCCATGGGTGGTGGCTTGTCACAGCGAAGCCAGGATGTATAATCCAGGTGCCTTCCAGAACCAGGACTCCTATTTACGAGCTGTGGGATCTGAGGCATGTTGCTTCATTTTTCTGTGACTCGATTTTGTCTGTAGAATGGTACTTAACCAGATACTGTGGAACAAAATGAGTGAGCACACACAGGAGCAGGGGAGATGGTATAGCAGCTAAGATCTCTTGTTGCTCTTCCAGAGAATGCGAGCTGAGTTCCCAGCACCCATGGCAGATGGCTCACAGCCATCTGTAATGTCACTCCCAAAGGATCCGACACCCTCCTGTGACACCCTTGAGCCAATGCTCATGTACACACACACACACACACACACACACACACACACACACACACACGCCTGCATCAGATTTCTCAAGAAAACAAAGTGGTACCTTTCCTCAGGCAGTCGGCCTGCCGAAGTTTTCACGCCACACTAAAAAACTCTTCCCATTTAAAAGTTCCATGCCACATATAGTTGGAAATTTTATTCTTTTTATTGCAAATCTCTGGTAAAGGAAAAGACAGGATAGCTGATTCTCCTTTAAACTTTGGCAAGAAGATTGGTCCATTGTCTTCGCTGGATGGCTGGCCTCCCAGCTGCACACCAAAAACACTGGGGGGGCTAAGGGTGTGGCACACACTGATGCTGGTGGCTGCCTCCCAGATGCTCTGACTTAATTAGTCTGGAGGCTGCTCAGCATCAGTAGCTCTTTAAACTCCCCGAGTGACCCCAACCGACTAGGGTGGAGAGTCCCCGCCCCCGTTCCTCGTCACACACACGCAACATCTTGAGCACCTAGGCGATTCCACCAGCAGCTGTGTCACCTGCTAGGCCAGAGTCAGCTGGTGTCCCCTGATCCCCTCTTCCCAGTGTCATCTGTGCTCATCCTTCTCCCTTCAAACCCCCAAAGGAGAGAGACACTGAGGGGGCGTGGCCCTGTCCTGAGACTTGTGCTTAATCTCTCCATGAAGCAGGGCCAGCCTAGCACAAAGGGGAAAAAAAGCACTTTCTGAACACCAGCGACTTCTAGGCGGAAAGATCTTATCTAGAGATGAAAAGATTTGCGGGGAAATGAAGAAATGCATGATGGATACATATTCCTCACATAACCTCTCATGAGTCCAAATGGAGACAAACACTGTCAAGCTACCAAGAGTAAAATATTAGGTACTTTAGCAGCATACTTTACACGGGTCAACAGTAAGAGCCAGTTAGAATCTCATTGTGATTTATTCTAGAAATAGAAAATCATTGTTATTTTCCTGAGTCCTTGCAAATGGGAGAGGAAAGGAAAAGACAAGGTGGTGTTCGGGGAACTAAGTGCTCCTGCTCCCTCCTGGGTGCCCTCACACTTTCACACCCGTGTCTTCTGTTAGCTATGACAAACTCGCAGGCGAGCAAACGGCACAGGCTTGAGTCTATAACAACTCAAACATGGTGACCAGGAAATAAAACATCTGCCAACGTTCCAGGACATGTCTCTTCACGGTATGATGAATGTAGCATCACTTTGACTCCCTGTCCATACAAAAGTGTGTGTAGCTATTACATGAATGATGCCAATTGGGGTCCGTCATGACAGTGATAAAACTGTTAGGACATTTTAAAAAATACATAGGATCCCAGTTTTACATCACAACCCTGATGTGTTTCACTTTCTGTTTTGTTAGTTTTTTTTTAAACATGGGATAGTACAGTGGACACTACAGTGATGAGATAAAAAAAAAAACCAAGGCACAAATATACGGCTACGACAAATGTCTATAAATCCTACCACTTAGTACCTATTTGGGGAACATTTAGGTAAATCGTAAAGTCTGAAAAATTCTCATGTTCATTACGATTGATGAACAATTAACTGTTCGATAAACAGATCTCTTAGCCACCACCCCATTATTAAATATATGGCTATTGGCTACACCGACTGTGAATGGTTCCAAAAATATCTTTAAATATTAAAGGCTGATACCTCTAGGTAGATATAAATATTGTGCCTTGTGGGATCTAGATAAATGTCATAAGTTTCCACTTAATTTGTAATCTATATGGCAGTTATCAATTTTAAAAAACTATTTCATTATATAAATGTCAAGGTTTTCTTCCCCCTGTGTTAAGTCTCTGCTTTCTACAAAAGACAGGTGATTTACAAGAAAATAACCCGACATTTTTAAAAAATGCATAGACAACAGTAATACAATCCAGATGTGGACTTAAAGCTGAACTCTAATCTACCAGAACACTCTCTTAATGTAGGATGAGGAGCATCACATACCAGTAGCAATTCACTCATTTCTTAATTAAAAAAAAAATCACCATGGCAGTTTTTTTTCAAAATAGTAGTCTTGGCTAGCGCATCAAGCATGGAAAATAAATTCTTTTCGTTCATAAAAGCCTTTCAAAATCTGAGGGCATAGGGCTCAACTGCACTTAGATAGGGAAATAAAGTTGTAAAAATTGTATTTAAGATTTTTAAATAAAGGGTGTTTTCAATACCGAAGGTAAACGGTTAGACCGACCCATGAGAACACGTTTCTTGGCACATGCACACCCTGGATGGGATCCAGAATGCAGCCATGGTCTGGCTGCTGAGGTGTCTGGCTCTTAGCCCCACAGACAATCTCCTGTCAGGTCCTCTTCACATGGAAGTTTCTGGTTTCTGCATCTGCTGTATCTGCTTCTGGAGCTGGTCCCTGTCCAGCTTCATCTTGGCCTCCAGCACTTGCCTGAGGGATCCGATGCTTTCGTAGATGGCTGTAAACCCTCGAGGAAGAGACAAACATCACGGGAGTTAACAGTTTCCAAGCAGTGTCTTGCCAGGTTCTACAGACGCAGTAATGGCTGGCTCTGACAAATGCTGAGACTCTAGGGGTCAACCCTGGATGGGGACCTCCATGAAAACTGCTTTTTAATCACAAAAGGGACAATTGCAGTTATATGTCGGAAGCTGCCTTCACCATGTGATCAAAGCTCACACCACTATTGCTGAGAGAAATCACAGCTTGTACCTGTGATCAGATGGCCAGAGCAGAGGCCATCCATTGGGTTCAGCCAGGCATGGTGGCATATGCCTGCATTTCAGTACTTGGAAGACTAAGATAAGACTATGAGTTTGAGGCCAGCCTGTTCTACATAGCTAGACTCCCTTTCTCCCCCTCCTTCCCTCCCTCCCTCCCTCCAGCCTATGTAATAGCCTTGGCTGTGCTGGAACTTGCTCCATAGACCAAGCTGCCCTGAAACTCACAGAGATCTGCCTGCCTCTGTCTCCAGCTTGTTGGGATTAAAGGCGTGCGCCACCACCACCCGGCAAGACTCCATCTCAGAAACAAACAGCATCACAGAGGAATCGATCCAGATACACAAGACTAAGTAAATGAGCATAAGCGCTAAGGACTGTGTGCGATCCTAGATTCGAATTGTAATGAGGTGAAGAACTTAGGATATGACTCAATGACTAGAGAGCTCACCGAGCATGCAAAGTCCTGGTTCCATCCTAGTAAAGCACCCTACTAAGCTGGGCTTGGTAGCATACACTTGTGATACAAGCACTCAGAAGTTAGGGGCAGAAGGATAATAAGTTCAAGGTTACCCTCAGCTACCTAGAGAGTTTGAGGCTGGCCAGACCAAAGGCCTCATCGAGAGAAAGGAAAGGAGGGAGGGAGGGAGGGAGGGAGGGAGGGAGGGAGGGAGGGAGGGAGGGAGGGGGAGGGAGGGAAGGAGGAAGGGGGGAGGGGGAAGGAGATGTATAGGAAAAGGCTTCAGCATCACTCATCAGGAAGCACGGTTACAGTTGCTAACTCTTGTTAGGAAGGCTCTGAGCAACAGACTAACCAGTCCTGAGGATGTGGAGAGCAGAGTCCTGAAGATGGAGGTGAAAATTAGACACAGTGTAGCGAAGCCCCAGTGTGGTGGAGTATGCCTTTCATCCCAGCACCTGGGAGGCAGAATTCTAGGCCAGCCTGGTCTACACAGTGAGTTCCAGGCCAGCCAAGGAGACATATATACATACATTTTAAAAAGTCATCGAGAGGCCCCTCTAGACATTAAAAGCAGAGCTAATGACTAGCAATGCCACTCACTACGGGACACACACAGAGAAGGAAACTAGCACCTCATGAGGAGATCCTCACTCCGGTGTGTGTCCCCACCTCCCCCCTTTTTTAGAGAGGGGTGTTTCCAAGACTGCCCAGGCTGGCTGTCCTGGAACTCTCTTTGCAGGCTGGGCTGGCCTCGAACTCACAGAGATAAGCCTGCCTGTTTCTGCCTCTGTGCTGGGATGAAAGGCCTATGCTACCACCTGCCTCTTTTTTTTTTTTTTTTTTTTTTTGAGACGGGCCTCACTATGCAACTGCTGAGCCATCTCTTCAGGCATGGCACGCTGATGTTTATTGCAACATTGCTCCTTATAACTGAGGCACAGAGGCAACCTAAAGTGTCTTCAAGAGATGTGAACAAAGATGATGCAGCATGGGTATATGCCATCAAGATTATACAGCCTTACAAAAGAGCAGGTCCTGCTCTTCGACACAACACAGCTGAAACTGGAGAACACTATGCTAAATGAAGGAAGACACACACAAAAAGGAATGTCGCATGGTTTCATGTGATGAGTCAAAGGGAAAAGAAATTAAATATATAAAAACGGAATAAAACGGCAGATAGCAGGGGCATGATGTAGGCAGATAGGGAATAAGGAGGCTCAGGTCAAAGGGTAAAAGCAGCACAATACGTAAAAGGAACAAGTCTAGAGACCTAATAGACATTGTGATGAAAAGTCGATATACTGTCTTTGGGATTTTTGCTTAAAGAGTTGACTCAAGGACACATTCATACACACCATACACACACACATACACACCATACACACACATATACAATATACATACACACATATATATACATACATATACACACATATAGCATACACAACACACACAAACACACATATACCACACCCATGTGAGATGATGGGTTGGTTAATTTATATGGTTACCATTTTGTTACATATATCCAAACACAAACTTTAAATATACAAATAAACATTTCTTTATCTAGAAAATGTTTGAGGGCTGAAGAGATGTTTCAATGGTTGCCCTGGCTAGTTTTATGTCAACTTGATACAAGCTACAATCATCAGAGAGGAGGGATCCTCAATTGAGAAAAAGCCTCCATAAGACTGGACTGTAGACAAGCCTGTAGGCATTTCCTTAATTAGTGATGGAGGAAGGCCCAGTCCATTATAGGTAGTGCCACCCCTGGGCTAGTGGTTCTAGATTCTATAAGAAAGCAGGCTGAGGAAATCATGAGGAACAAGTCAGTAAGCAGCGCTCCTCCATGGCCTCTGCATCAATTCTTGCCTCCAGGTGCCTACTTGGGTTCCTATCCTGACTTCATCAATGATGAACAGCACTCAGGAGGCAGAGGCAGAGGCAGAGGCAGGCGGATCTCTATGAGTTCAAGGCCAGCCTGGTCTTCAAAGAGAGTTCCAGAACAGTCTCCAAACATACAAAACATACAGAGAAACCATGTCTTGAAAGGAAGGAAGGAAGGAACGATGGAAGGAAGGAAGGAACGATGGAAGGAAGGAAGGAAGGAAGGAAGGAAGGAAGGAAGGAACGATGGAAGGAACGATGGAAGGAAGGAAGGAAGGAAATGCCCATCATTAGCGGTTAGCATTTTGTTTGCCTGTGTCTCATGGAGATGCTTCATAGACCTGCAATTGAACTAGTACTTTAGGCCTGGGAGTATACACACTGCAAAGGGCTTGCCTAGCAACTATGAGGTGCTGAGTTCAAGTTGCAGCATATATTAAATAAATAAATTAGCTAGCATCTTTGTTCAATAATGCCCAGATACTTAGAAAAGCAACTAAAGGCATTTCACTGTTTTGGTTTTTTTTTCCTAGCAAGCTCAGTCTCAGCTTCAAGGGAAATCTCAATGCATAGCTTTTTAGACAGACAAACCACAGAAGCCGTAGGGCTTTGGCCTACCAGCATTAACCTCCGCTTTCATCTCCTTCATGTCCTCGCTCATCTGTAGCTCCAGTTTGCTGATTCGCCCATGCACCTTCTCCTCTTCCGGCTTCGCTCTCTGGCCCTCCACGTTCTTCTTCTGACTCTCTTCGATTTTGTCAAGCCTGGCCGACATCTGGCTGAGCTTCTTCTCCATGTCCCTTTCACTGGCTCCCTGGGGTCCATGATAAGAATTACACTTGGTTATTGCAAAGGAAGAGCATAGGCCTTGTCTCACATCGACCATAGCACTTAACATCCACAGGGACCAGAACCACAATGGCTTCCTGTTGCCCCTCCTATGTCCATTCTCAAGCATCATCTCGAGTAAAGATCTACATTTCCTTCTGTCTCCAGAGTTTGGCATGGCCATGTGATCTAGCCAATGAGGCGTAAGAACAACTGCATGTAAATGCTTCCAGAAAAAGTTAAAAAGATGTCCTTAATTCTTCCCTTTTCCCTTCTGTTTCTACCATTTGGTCAATGGCTGGAGATCTTTCAGCCATCCTGAATTGTGGGGCTGCTCTCTGAGGCTGGCAGAAAGCTAACATAAAAGGATTCTGGGTTCCTGAAGACTGACAAACCCTCATCTCATGTTTGTCCTGAAAAAAAAAAGTACACCTGTATTTGTTTTACATGAGAGAGAAGTAAGCTTCCATCTTAGTGAATCCCCTGTGATCATGGAGTTTACTGTTGGCTTAAGCCAATTCAAAAATCAAACAGTAAACCACAGACTCAGAACTCCATAAGTGGGTCAGGATGTGTCAAGGCACAACCACCAGTAGATCAGATCCAAGAAAAGCAGGGGAAGAGTCAAAGGAAAGATTTGAAATACTGAGTAGTTCCTTGTCCTTGCAGTCTGCTATACCTGTGTTTTGTGAAACTCTGCATCCAGGTGTTTTACTGGTCAAACTACAAACACCAAGCCCTCATCAGGTGTGACAGGACAACGCTCCTGTGCTGGCATTGACTCGGGGACTACAACTCAAGGAACGGCTCAACACCTGGAGCAAACAAACACATGGACCGGCAAACCACACCAGCCATTTCTGCTCAGTCAAAACCCCATGGGAGGAAGCCAGGCAAGAAGAGAGAACACAGCACAATTTGCCTGTCTATCACTGGTTTCCAAACCCGATGGTTTTAAATTCGATGAATGCAAAACTTTCTGAAGATATTTTTTGGCAGTTCTGCAAACCTTAACTCTTTGAGAGAGAGGATGAAAGAAGTGGACGGGAAAACGGTGGAGTCTGACCTGTCACCCTGGGAGAGCGAAGGCACACTGTTATTACAGTGTGTGGGAGGGGCCTGGAGGGACAGAGAGCCACTCAACACTGGTGAAAGGAAAAAGTAGGCTGCAACATTAAAAACAAATATAAAAACAGGATCAAGTAGGTAGCCGATAGCTTTATTTAGAAATGTATGGTAGACAACTGCGTTTATTAAGTTGTGACTTAAAAAACATTAACTGAAATGTTCGGTTTGCCCTTTGTCAACCAACATAAATCAAAGCACTCCCTGTCCTTATGAAGAATATGAAGGGCAGGGGATGATGGGGGCATGGCTGGGTAATGACGTTCAAGATTAGCAGATATAATGGTCAGTGTTGATTGTTAATTTAACAGAATCTAGAACCAACCAGGAACCAGGCCTCTGGGTGTACCTGAGGGGAGTTAGTTTGATTTGCTTGATGTGGAAAGACCCAACCCCTGTGGGTAGCACCATGCCCTGGCTGGGACCCCAAACTGGGTAAGTGTGAAGGAGCTGAGCAGTGGCCGGTATTCACCCCTCTCTGCTTCCTGCAGTGGATGCAACATGATCTACCATCTGTGCCTCGATCCTGCCACCTTGACCCCCTCGCCATCATGAAGTAGACCCTTGACCTGTGGACCAGCATACACTTCTTCTCCCTTAAGTTGCTTTTGTCGGAATATTTACTTTCTCGTGGCAACAGGAAAAGAAACTAAGACAGCAGGTATGAGAACCCGGATTTGATCACCAGAACAGAGGAAACAGAAAGGGGAAATGGGAGAGGGAGAAAGGAAAGAAAAGGGAGGGAAGGAATGCAGAAATTACACAAGGGTGGGAGTGCCCAAGCATCTTTGGGCGATGCCAGATTAACTCGTGCTAGGTCTTTAGGTACTAGTGAGACATTGCAGGCCTCCACTGAGTGTCTGTTACTGAGAAACACCAACACCTACACTGTTTTCCTTAACAATCAAGGAAAGATGATCGATTTTCTGTAGAAGTTCTTTCTCTATCCGTTCTTGTTCTTGTTGCAGCCAACTCCGAGCAGATAAAATCTGGTTGCTGAGCTCCTCGACTGTACCTTTAAATCTGAAACAATAACACAAGCAAGGAAAGAAAAGGCACGTAAACAAGCTAGATGTAAAACAGTTTTTAAGTAACATTGCACAATATCAATTCAATGAGAATGGTGTGTTTACCTTCTCCTAGGACCACGCATGAAGCTGGTGGAGGACAGAAACATACAACAGAAAAGCATCTGATGATGCCCCTACCCACAGGAGCCGGCAGCACAGTCATAGAGATGCCAGGGGTACTAACCCTTGCAGTTCTAAGGGTCCACGTGCTCCTTGCTCAGAGGACACACCATCCTTCTTCTCCTCATTCAGAATCCTCTCCTCACCTGTATTCTCCCTCCTTGTATCTCCCAGAACCAGAGGCTAGCTTGTTTTCTCTCTCATGTTTCCTATTGCTCTTTCCACATATAGACAAAGCCTAATTTATACCAGTAGGAAATGAACTAGGCATAATGGAACATGCCTGCAATCCCAGCACTTGGGAGGTAGAGCCAGGAGGATCAAGGTCACAGTAGCCAGCTTGGACTACTTGAGACTTTGGGCTACTTGAGACTTTGTCTCAAAATAAACAAACAAACAAAAAATCAGACAGAAAATGGAAAGTACCTCTACAACAATCCATTCCTCTAGAACCTTCCCTTTCCACAATTCTTAAAATAACTATCAATGCATGCTACTTCCCTTATTACCTTCTTATTTGTATTAACATATGATAAAAGTATAGAATATATAAAGATATGTGTAGATGTGTAATAGATGTAGATATGGGATTTAAATAATAACAAGAACACCCATTAAAGTCACTAATTGTTCTGAAATGTCTATTTTTTTGTTTTATTCTATAAGGAGTCTTCACATGTCACTGGAGTACATGGCTGCCTAGCCAGCAATCACATTTACTAGCTTCCCTTGTAGCTAGGTGTACGTGACGGGTAATCTGTATCATCTTGACAGGATTTGGAATCACCTAGGAGACACACCTTGTATGTGAGGGTATTTCCAGAGGGATTTAATGAAGAGGGGAGACCCATTCTGAATGTGTAAAACACTATCCATGGACTGGAGTCCCAGACTGAATAAAAAGCGGGGGGGGGGCGGGGGGAAGTATACTGAGCACCAGCATCCATCTCTTTGGTCTCTGACTATGGATACAATGAGACTAGCCACGTCATGCTCCTGCTACCACATGTTCACCACCAGGGTGGATGGTATCCCCTCAGACTGTGAGCCAGACCGTCACCTTCATTCCTCAGTTGCTTTTTCTAGGTCACTGCAATGAAAAAAGTAACAGTTACAGTGCAGTGCACCAGTGCAGTGCAGTAAGTCAGGTGACTGACAGTGCAGGAAGGAGAAAAAGTACATGGCTCTGCTCTGGTCACATTCTCCAAAACAGAGCAGTTACCCTGGATTTTCCCTCTGTAGCAGCTGGGGAAGAGCAAGGACCAGAGCTGTTGAGGCTGCACACTGAGCTGCCCTGTCTGTCCTGGAACACTGACCACAGAACACTGAACCACCCTGCAGCTGAACTAACACAGCTATCCGTACAGACAGAGACACTGGCCACTACCCAGGACCTAGAAGACCCAAGTGTACAGCCTATCACACTCCCCCAGAAGTTAGCATGGCCAGGATTGCTATTCTTAACAGTGCTTTCCTCTCAGGACCCTAGTGATGATGTCAGGCTTGCTTGGATGACCCATTCATTTTAACACTTTCTTTAGGGGGCTGGGGAGAGGGCTCAGTGGGTAAAATCTTTGCTGTGCAAGCATGAGGACCTGAGTTCTGATCCCAGAACCCATGTACAGCCAGAGGTGGTCTATAATTCCAGCACTCCTATGGCAAGATGGGAAAGAGAGACAGGAAACTCCAGAAGCTCTCAGGCCATCTAGCCTGGAGTTCGCAGTGGTGAACAACCACAGACCCTCTCTCAAACAGAGTGGAGGTGAGAACTAACACCCCAGGTTTAGTCTGACCTCCACCATGGTATGCACTCACACATAGAGATTTTTTAAAAGGCATTTTTTTCTAATACTGGGGGTTGAACTTATGGCCTCACTCATCCTAGACAAGCACTTTACTCCTGAGCTACATTCCCAGGTGAAGATACTTAGTCATACTTGCATGTTCCTTTCCCTAAAAGTTGACAAATTTTCATGTGGAGAATTTGGGGAAACCATTATTTAACCTAACATAACCACATACCCTGCTTAAGTCCTTATCTGACACCTGGCCATCAGGTCCCTAAAGTGCAGACTCTACAGGATTAAGAACAAGGTCAATTTTGTTTTGTTTTTTCTTCATTACTAGATCCATGGCCCCTACTCAAGTGCTTGACAAATACACACTAGGAACAGGGAAGACAACTCAGTGGGTAAAGTGCTTGCTGAGCAAACATGAGGACCAGAGTTTGGATGCCCAGACATGATGACATCTATAACCCAGCACTGGGGAGATGGGAAAAGAGTTAATCTGGGAGAATCAGTGAGAGACTCTGCCTCAAAAGATAAGGTGGAATGAGATAGAGGAAGATGCCCAATGTTGACCCTCACCTATTGTTTTCACTCTGTGTGATACATAAAGGAGAGGTCGGCAGTTGGGAGTGCTTGCTGTTCTACCAGAGGATGCGGGTTTAGTTCCCAGTACCCATATCCTTCTGCTCACAACAACCTGCAACTCCAGCTCCAGGGGACCCAATGCCCTTTTCTGGTCTCTGTAACACTGCATTTGTGTGCACATATCCACACAGACATAAATAAAAACAAATCTTTAAGACAGACAAGATTTAAGCATTATATTTTAAAATAAAAGCAAGAGGGAGAAAATGTGAAATTCATGAGCTCAAAAAGAACTTGGGAGAACCCTTTCCAACATGATGACTTACTTGGTGTCCAGGAGCTGAAGCTGGTGGTTGCTGTCTCTGTGGGACATCTTCAGCTTGGTGCTCTGCTCTGAAATGGACAGGTCTACTCTGCTCAAAAGCTGAGAAATCTGGAAAAGAAGACTGGATTATAAAGATCTCACATCATGTCTTCAGGGGTCATTCCAGAAGACATGTCATATGCTCTATGCTGCCAGTGGCAATAAGAGTCAAGTCTGTTTAGGAGTTTGCCTCCTCTTTCCGTGTGTGTGTGTGTGTGTGTGTGTGTGTGTGTGTGTGTGTGTGTGTGTACATATGGAGATCAGAGGTCAACAGGAATTATCTTAATCATTCTCTATTTTTTGAGGCATGGTCTCTCACTGAACATGGAGTTCACCTTTTAGCTAGAATGTCTGGCCAATAAGTTCTAGGGATCACCCTTTCTCCACTGCCCAGTTCTGGGTATACCACAGTGTCCAGCTTTTAAAAAACACGTTTCTAGATTATTTTATGTGTATGAGAGTTTACCTGAATGGATATACACCACATGTATGCCTAGTGCCTGAAGAGGTCAGATTCCCTAGGACTGGAGTTACAATTGTAAGCTACTATGGGTACTAGGAACTGAACTCAGGTCCTCTGGAAGAACAAGTGCTCTTAACTGCGGAACCATCTCTCCAGCCCCCACAGTGAACAGCTTTAAGTAGATGCTACAAATCCAAGCTCAGGTCCTTTTGCTTGCATTCATGGGCACTTTAACTTTGACACAGTCTCCCTAGGGCACTTTAACTATGACACCATCTCCCTAAGGTACTTTAACTATGATGCCATCTACCTGGACACTACCTCTGTTTTCTTTTTTACACACCCAGCAAAAATCAAGATGGCGGCACTGCCAAAATAGTCATCATGCAATGGGCACTAAACTGCACAGCTCTGTCATGAGCAGGCCCAACTCCTGCCCAGGGCTGGCACCTCCACAGCTGTCGTGGTGTGCAGCCATCGCTACCTTGGAATTCCACCAGCACTGTGGCTGCCGGTCATGGAGGGTGGAATCTCTATGGATTACAAATGCATCAAGGTTCCAAATGTACCTCCTCATCAAGTGAAGTCCCAGAGAAGACCCTGTGTGGGTCATTTCCCTCTGTTCCTTTCTCCATTATTGATCTGTGGCCTTTGTCTTTATTTGGGTTTTGCTTTCACTACAATTTAATGTTAAACTAGTGCTGAATGAAATGACCACATTTTCGAAAAAGGTTAAAAGTTGTTCAACATTCCTACTTAAGGATTCATGATACGTGTAAGATCTCAATCAGTAACAACAAAATAACAATGCCTCTTTTGGTGGATCTCTGTGTTATACTCACCTTGGTTACAGGGAAACATCTATTTTCTTAAATAATAACCTCATTCTCACCCATCCACCCACGCCCCAACCACACCCACTCCAGTACTAGGAACTGAACCTCAAACTTTGTAAACACTAACAAACACTCTGTGCTGAGCTACATATTAGCCTTGTCTTTAAACTTATTTCTAATGTTTTTATTTCTATTGTGTATATGCGGATAGATGTGTACACGCCATAGCTGCTGTGTGGCGATCAGAGGACAACATCTGGAAGTCAGTTCTGTCCTTCCGTTATGTGCGTTCCAGAGCTTGGACTCTGGTCATCAGGCTTGGTGGCAAGTACTTGTACCCACTGAGCCATCTGTCTTTACTTTTTATTTGAAGATATCTAAATTGCTCAGGTTGGCCTAACTCACTCTTTAGCCCATACTAGACTTCAACATGTGATCCTCCTACCTCAGCCTCCAGACTATCTGAAATTATATACCCATGCTATGAAACCAAGCCAAGCTCATAAAAAATAAAATAAAATAAAAAAACTCAAAGAACTGCTTTTTGGTTTAGTTTTGTTTTTTACATAGGTAGCTTTGGTTCCTTGCTGAAAAGAGTTGAAGTTAAGGGGTAATTACTTTTTATTCAGTAAGTTACCCAGATGCTGTGGGAAAGTCCTAGGAGGCTAGCCCTGTTATGATAAAGGGAAACTTGTAACAAAAACCAACCAAACAATAAAAATCTGATGAAGTAGGGATTGGAGAGATGGCTCAGTAGTTAAGAGCACTTATCCCTCATAGTTGAATCCCCAGGCCCATGTCAGGTGGGTTATAGCCACCTGTAATCCAGCTCCAGGGGGAATCCAAGTCCTCTGACCTCTGGGAGCATCTGCACTCATGTGTGTACACACACACACACACACACACACACACACACACACACACACAAACTGGTAAAAAGCTGATAATTTTATTTTGTGAAGTATATTAACAATTTGAAGTACATTATCAATTTGAAGGTAAAATACCCTAAGATTCATTCGCCGGCTTATTCTCTAGCTTTGACCTAATTGGGTCCCACACACAGACCATGTGATGAGTCAGCACATCCAATGCAGCCATTAAAGTCCGTAAAGAACGTACTTCCTGAATCAGACACTGGGAGAAACGGGGGCAAAGCTACCCTGGGCCACTCACCTGTGTGAGAGGTAGTTGGGGGGGGATATAATTTAGAATTGTTCTATGAATAAAGGGAAAGAATCTTTAAATTGGCACTGTACCAAAAGCTCTCTGTGATCTGGCTGCCAGATTCATGAGGGGCCACTCCAGCAAGTCAGAGGGAAGGAAGACAGAGTAGAGCTGAGGGTCTGCATAAGCCCACAGAGGCTGCTCCAGCCGGCTGCTCTGCTACCTCATTCTTAACAGAGAACAAGCTCCCCTCTTCCAAGTGTCTGCCCGGCCATACCTGTCCTTCTGCGTCCTTGAGTTTTGTTTCCAGGATCAGTTTGGCTGCTTGCTGCTCCTTGTTCAGGTGCTGGAGCCCCTCGTAGGTCGTCTTGTGCTCTGCGGACAGTCTGGCTATGCTGGCATCGCACCTATCCAGGCAAACAACACACATTCATGAAAGTTCAGAAGCCCGAGGGATAGCTGCCTGGCTATTTCAGACTATAAAATGCACCGTGAGATGCAAGGTCTCCTCAGAACGTGAGCTTCTGGGCTGTGGAGAAGGCCCAGACAATAAAGCACGAGGAACAGTCTGATCCTTGAAAAAGCATGTTTTTAAAAAGCCAGGTGTGTGCTGGAGCAGTGACCCTGTGGCTAAGAGTGTGTACTGCTCTTGCAGAAGACCAGAGTTCAGTCCCCAGCATCCCCGGCAGGCAGCTCACCACAGCCTATACCTCCAGTTCCAGGGCACCCAATACCCAGGCCTCAAAAGGTACCTGAACTCACATGCACACCTAGACATAATTAAAAATAATAAAAATATTTTAAGCCAGATGAGAGACAGTATACACTTGTAATCACGGCACTGGGGAGGCAGAGACAGGTAGATAGATCTCTTGGGCTCACCGGCTGCCAGTGTAGCCAGCAAGTGATCCTGTTGTTTTGTTTGCGAGTGGCTGGTGAGATGGCTCAGAGGACAGAGGGCCTGAATTGAATCCCTGTGTCCCACAAGGTGGCAAAAGAAAACTAGGCCCCAATAACTGTCCCCTGACTCCCACACTGGCTCCATGGCGCATGCATGTCTATGTACCCGAAAACGCACTCGTGCACAAACACAAAGGTTGGAGCCAGCAGGATGGTTTGCTGGGTAAAATGCTTGCTGTGCAAGTCTGAGGATGTAAGTTCAATCTACAGAACCCACACAGTGGAAGAAGAGAACTGATTCCACAATGGTGCCCCCCCCACAGAGTTAAAAAAAAAAAAGAGTGGATGGTTCCTGAGCTTAACCTCTGGTGCACACACAATGACAGAGAGTTAGAGAAGTGGGCAGCCGCAAGGGAAGGGAGAAGGAAGGAACTGAAGTGTCCCTACCCCCAAATGATTTTCCAGTATTTTACCAGGACAATCTGGTGAGGAACAGAATGGACTTTTGACTAATGATGTTGAAAAATAACTAAACATGCAAAAGAATGAACTTGGAACCCTACCTCACACTGTGTATAAAAACCTACCTACCTCAAGACTGGAGAGATGGATCAGTAGTCAGAAACACATCTAGAAAACTGGAGTTCGGTTCACAGTACCCACAAAAGGCCTGCATAACCACCTTTAACACCAGCTCCTGGGGACCTGACACCCTTTTCTGGTCTCCATGAGCACTGCATACATATGGTATAATACATGTATGCAAACAAAATACTCATACACATAAAATAAAAATAAATTAAAAAATTTAAAGATGTAAACATACAAAGCCTCATAAATTAGTATTATCAGCTGCATTATTTATAACAGACAAAAAGCAGAAACAGCACATCCACTCAATTTATAAAGAAACAAAATGTGGTGTTTCTTAGCTATAGAAAGCAATGATGTCCTGACACACTTTACAGATGAACCCTGAAGACACTACGCTAAGTGTAAGAAGCGGTCTTAAAGAACCATGTGTTAGGTATGATTCCACTTACAGGAAACGTCCAGAGAGGCAAAAAGACGTCCTAGAGACAGAAAGAACTTTCTGGTTGCCATGGATAGGGGTTTAGGGACTGCAATGCCATGGGATTTCTTTCTGATTTGTTTAAATGTTCTATAATTAATTGTGATGCCTGCACAGTGAATATACCAAACTTACTGAATTGAAGGCTTTAAAGTTTTATTTTTAAATACCCCCTCTGTGTGTGGGTCTCTCTCTCTCTCTCTCTCTCTCTCTCTCTCTCTCTCTCTCTCTCTGTGTGTGTGTGTGTGTGTGTGTGTGTGTGTGTGTGTGTGTGTGTGTATCTGTGTGTGTATGAGTCCAAACTGCAGAGTTTGGAAGAAGGTGTCAGGTCCCCCGGAGCTGGAGTTACAGAGAGTTGTGAGACACCTGACATGGATCCTGGGACACGAACTTGGGTCCTTTGGAAGAGCAACAAACACTCTTAAGTGCCAAGCCATCTCTCCAGCTGCTCCACCCCATTGTTGCTTATATGTAAATTATATATAATAAAATCTCTATAAATATAAATAAAATTATATACCATAAAATAAATGTAGCTATTAAAATATCCTAAAATTATATACCATAAAATAAAGACAACAGAGGAAGGAGGGAATGAAGAAGAGAGGGAGAGAAAGAGTGAGAGCAAGAAGTGAGGAGAGTGAGTATTCTAGATCTACTGAGCGGTTTGTGAAAGTCCCCGTGTCATCTCACCAATTGGCAGGTGTAGGTAGCTTATGCCTTGGCATGTGGATATTTTCCCTCTATCACTCTGCCAGCAGGCACACCGCACACTCTATCAGAGAAGAAAGAGGAAGTGGCCACTGAGTTTTAGGAAAATGCAGACAATGTGCTAAACACAGGAGGACCAAACATTCCAGTAGGAACTGGGAAGCGAAATGTGAGATTTTCTTCAGGAAGGAATGGACAAATCTCTGGCCACATCCTGTGTCAGGTGCACGATGCTGAGTGGGACGAATGTCCTCACCTTCAAAGAGAACCTGCGGAGCCTAGATCTGCAAGTGATAAATAAGGACGTGTTTGCTGTTCACTGTATTACGGATAGATCCATAAAAACCACACTTTCAAATAGGAAATTATAAGCCAGCCTAGAAACTTAGTAATATCGCTTTAAAAAGCTAGACTTCTTCAACACAATTATGTAATCGATGCATGAAAGGCAAAATCTTGCCAAAGAGCTTTTATCTCACATGAATTCGTCCCACATAAATTCATCCGAGAGGAAAACAGATGTAACCACCAAACAAGCCCAGAGTATCAGGTGCTTACAGCAAACACTCCGGGCGGGGTTGGAATCGAGGTGTTTGTTAACGGGGAGGAGCAAGTCGGCTGAGATGTTGAACCACTGATGCAGAATGGGAGATTCCTGCAGCTATTTCAAGAGACTTCTCTGTCTAGCTACAGTGTCAGAAAGATGACATCAGTTTTCACTGCTGGCTGAGGTGCCGGCAGCCGCCATTTGTGGCATGCTCCCTCCCTCCCCGCTGCACACACACCTGCACCCACAGTGGTGTGGTGGTTAATTGGGGTTATCATCTTGACTGGAGCCAGTCAATGGGCATACCTGTGAAGGGTTCGCCTGATCAGGCACTTAGAAGTGAGAAGACAACCATCCCCAAAGAACGTGGGCAGCACCTTCCTGAGGCGGCCTCAATAAAAGGAGGGCTGGGGGAAAGCTGTGGTTTTGCCTGGTGGCCTTCGTATCTCCTTAGCAAGGTCATCTGCCCTCTTGCTGCTGCTGCCTCCCCCCACTGACATCACACTCAGGCTTCTTCTCTTGTAGAGAACCTGGATTTGGTCCCCAGCATTCACATGGTGGCTTACAACCTCCTAGAACTCCAATTCCAGAGGATCTGATGTCTCCTCACTTCCACAGGGTCCTGCATGCACGTGGTGCATATGTACACCCAGGCAAACAAGTGCACATTAAATAAATAAAGACAGAACAAAAAGAACAATGACAAAGAGTCACAGTAGAGTGGTCACTGCATCCTTCATTCAGTCCTCACAACCCTCCTCCAGCCGTTAACTAACCTTTAACCAACAGCTGCCAACACACATGCCCAGCACACAAGGCATGGGGCTTCTGTGCAAACACACCCTAACACGGCTCTCTCTGCTCTAAAGATGCCCTGACCTCTGTAGGTCCCCGTCCCTAACCTAGTCCCATGCTTATCTATGCTCATTGTCACCCAAGCTGGCTGGAAATGTTTCTTTGCCCCAAATACACATTATTAGCTACATACTTGTACTTGGCTCTGGGTAGCAGCAGAGGGCAGAAGAGACCCATAGGTAGTCTGGCAACTTCATCCCAGCCCGCTAAACATAATCCAGAGGACAGGCCTCCAGCAAAACTTCTTAGACACCAGTGTGCCCAGAACCCAGAGATCTCATTAGAAACAGATTCCAATTCAGTAGCTGTGGGGTGTGGCAATATTGGACATTGCTAACCAGGTCCCAGGTAAGGGCTGGGAATGTGGTTCAGCCGGTTAAAGCACGAGCTGCCAAAGTGATGACATGAGCTCCCCAGGACAGGTGTGGTGGAGAGAACTGACTTCTTCAATTATCCTCTGATCTCCACACATGAGACCCAGCACACACACTTGTACGCATGCACGCACGTAAACACACAGGTGTAAACGTAAATGAAATACATTCTTAAAAATTCCAGGTAATCCCCAAGGCTCTGGGCTTGTGGAACACACCCAAGTAAAGAGAAAATCATTTTTCACGTTGACAGAAAAACACATCTTAAAATGTCCAGCCTATGAGAAGCCAATGCTTTCAGAAAATAAAACAAAAAATTAATCATAACAAAGATGAACATTCCAGAAGGCATACAAACAGTAAGCCCTGACTGTATTATTTGATTGAATGACCATACTATTATTACCTGACCAAATGACATCAGCCAGCAGAGGGCGCCCTTTGATCATTTCCTCCCATGAAATCTGGCCAGCTTCAGAAACGAAATTGTGTGCATGTGCATGCGTGCTTGTGTGTGTGTGTGTGTGTGTGTGTGTGATTTTAATCTCTGACGGTCTCAGAGTCAAGTAAGAACTGCTCTGAAGGAGTAAGTCTCCAACATTTGAATCCCAGCGGTGATGGGTAATCTTCTGGCCAACTTGACTGAATTCAGAATCACCTAGGAGACATGCCTCTGGGCGTGGCTGTAAGGTGTTTCAGAGGGGTGTAAGTGAAGAAGGAAGACCTACCTAGAATGTAGGCAGAACCTCATCAGGGGCTGGGGTCCCAGACCGAATACAAAGGAAAAGAATCAGCAGCCATCTCCCCCTGTGCTTTCTTGACTGTGAACCCCACAAGAACCGTCACCTCTTGCCCGACAACGGCTTCCCCACCCGATGGACTTCCGCCTCCAACTGTGAGCCCAAGCAGGCCTTGCTTCCTGAAGACACCTCCATAGGGCGTTCTGAGGGCAGAAACGGGTACACCTACCTTGCAACTCTTCCTCGGAGATCCCCCAAGCCAGAGAGCTGGCGCATCTCCAGCGTCTTTAAGGCAGAATTAGTTCCATAGCTGATGTTGTCCCTGGCACGGATCTGCTCCTGGAGAACCTGGGCAACACAAATTCACAGTTGTCCACACACATTTCACAGATCAGGAAAGTACATGCGTGCTCACTTCATCTGAAGATGAAGTTTTTGTTTGTTTAAAACTAAGGGTCTCACTATTAGCCCTGGCTGGTCTGGAACTTGTTGTGTAGATCAGGCTGGACTCTAAACTCACAGTGATCTGCCTGCATAAGGCATTCTTTTTATCAGTGAACTGATAAACACAGATGAACACAGAGAACCAGGAGGCCTAGAAATTGAGCAAGTTCCAAGGCAGCCTCCAAAGCTACAGAGAAACCCAGTCTCGAAAAACCAGAAAGAAAGAAAAAAAAACCCTAAAGCTAAAAACATAACTAAAATTGTGGTTTTTGGGCTGGAGAGATGGCTCAGAGGTTAAGAGCACTGGCTGCTCTTCCAGAGGACCCGGGTTCAAATCCCAGCACCCACATGGCAACTCACAACTGTCTATAATGAGATCTGATGCCCTCATCTGGCCTGCAGGCATGCATGCAGACAGAACACTGTATACATAATAAATAAATAAACCTTTTTAAAAAAATTATGTTTCTCTATTCAAGCTATTAAGATTGGGGGGTGTTTACAATTTTTATTACATTTTATTTAGTGATGAGTATGATGTGTGGGTCAGAACACAACTTTCAGGAGGAGCAGATTCTCCTTCTTCCATGTGTGCTGGGGACCAGATTCACGTCTTCGGGAGTGGTGGCAAGTGCCTTTTCCTGCTGGTCCATCTCTCAGGCTCTGTCTTTACCATTTAAGTCTCACTGCACCGGCTTATGATAGCCTGTAAGAAATTTTATGTTTTTAATAAGCTAAATTTTTCTTTGTGGCACATGACTGAGTTGTTGACTTTTTATTTATATATGTGGGGGAGGGATCCTATGCCTTGTGTGTGTGTGTAACCATGTATAGTTGGAATTTTCTTTGGACCACCAACCAGCTCCCAAAGAAAGACACAGAGACTTATTATTAATTATGAATGCTCGCCCTTAGCTTAGGCTTGCCCACTAGCTCTTTTAACTTAATTTGGCCTGTTCCATTCATCTATGTTTTGCCTTGGGGCTTTTTAACCTTTCTTTCATTCTGTATGTCCCACTTTACTGCTTCCTCCCTGTATGTCTGTCTGTCTAGCTCCTGGTGTCTCCCTAGTGTCTCCTTTTCTTTCTTTTCAGAGCCTAAATTCCTCCCACTTACTCTTCCTGCCTGGAAGTCCCACCTATACCTCCTCCCTTGCTATTGGGCACTCAGCTTTTTATTAGACCAATTGGGTACCTTAGGCAGGCAAGGTAAAGCAGCAACACATCTTTACACAGTTAAACAATATTCCCTAGCACCCATGAAATCCAGGCGAGGGTGTCTGGTGCTCTGGAACTGGAGTTACGGGTGACTGTGATCAGACCAAGGTGGGTGCTGGGAACTCGGTCAGTCATTTTTCCAGCATCTACAACCCCACTCTGCTCTTAAAAACCCATTTCAACTCAGAGCTTGGTGAACTTATCAAATGTTTTTTTCTTCAGCTTACACATAATTCTCCGGTGTAACCAATATTTCTTCTCTTCTCCTGTCATTCCTGTTTTGACACTTGGCTGCACCAAAACTTGCCCTTCTTGACAGCTTCACTCCGAATTTAACTGTCGCCTCTCTGGGGTTTCTTCCACTTTTTGCTGGGACCCACTAAACTCTTTTGGTTGTTTGTTTGTTTAAGATTTATTTATTTATTATGTATACAGTGTTCTGCCTAAATATATACCTGCACACCGGAAGTATCTGGTCTCTCTTCAGATTGTATAAATCCTCTGCCTTTACTAGACTTTTCAGTTCACAATGTGCTCTCGGGTCCTAAATATACAAACTGCTCTTATCCTGGCCCTCGGGTTCCCTCCGTCAGAAGGCATGGCTTTCCTCCTCTGGATGCTGAGTCCTTGGATGAGACGGAGCTTCTCTGTCTCTGCTCTTTGGAGGGCTCGGGTGGGTGTTCCTGACAATAGTGAAGCTGGAGTGGGCTGGAGTTACAGGCGGTGAGGGACCTGTGCCAGGTCCCAGCCGAAAACTGAGAGGAAAAGCCGGCCTCCACAGGGTCTCCTCACCTCCCTCACAGGGTAAGAGACGCGCGCGTGCGCATAGAGGGAGGCAGTGAGCCTGGCTCCTCCTCACTCTTAAGGCCTCCCCTCTGTCCAGGTGCTCAGGAAGGTGGCCCAAGGCCTGGGGCTAGTGAAGAGGCAGTGGCACCAAGTCACCAGGGTCCCTCGCCTCCTGTGACAGCACAGGCCCTTGTTTCCCTGGTATTGTTCAGTTTGGTGACATTGCATTTCATTGGCACTGAAAATGGAATTTGCAATTACCAGACCGGTTATTTCCTAAGGCTCTTAATTTTTGAATGAATGAACCTGCTCTATGAAGAAGAATGTGAACCAGCTACAATCACCTATGAATGACAAAAATGTTACTCATCCGAGCACACTCCTGCAAGGAGACCTCAGATCTGACTAATTCATCTCTGGCACTCTCCCACTAATGAAAGGTGCTGATGGAGCGCGTTCTCTCTCTCTCTCTCTCTCTCTCTCTCTCTCTCTCTCTCTCTCTCTCTCTCTCTCTCTGTCTGTCTCTGTCTCTGTCTCTCTCCTCTCTCGCTCAAATGGAAGTGATACCTATTAGTAGCAGTGAATAGAAAGAAACACTCATCCTTTGTTTGGTTTTCTTCAAACTTTTGTTGATAATAATAAGACCTAAGGCCATAGTGCTCAAATGTCTTCGGGGTGCATACATGTCACCCAGAAGACCCATTTCACATGCTCAGGTCCCATCCCCAGAAAGCCAAAGCCGAAGCGAAGGACCGGGCCGGAGGTGGATGCGAGCAGGCACAGGCCTCTCCTGGGGTGCCACTGCATTAGATGCTAAGAAACCCAGGCTTTGCTTTGGTTTTCAGTCCCTTAATAGAGAGAATGCAAAGGATTCACAAAAGAGGTGCTTAAAATAATTCACACCGTCAACGTTTCTAGTAACCAGAGAAACAGGAGCCACACAGTGGGGGTTGGGGTGTAGTTCAGTTGCCAGAGGGCTTGCAGAGCATGCCCAAAGCCCTGAGATCATCTGAGCATGCACACAGTGGCATGGCAGTTTCCCACGGGGCAGCACTCCTCTGTAACTCCAGTATCTGGGGGAGGAGGGAGGCAGATCGGAAGTTCGAGGTCTTTCTCAGCTATGAATTAGTGAGTTTGAAAGATCCTGAACGACTGTGAGGCAGATGCCAGTAGTGGGAGTGGCTGAGGGGGTGTTCTTAGGATGGGGACATGGGGACAGAGGTGATTGACATAAAGGCAGGGGCTGAACGGAAGTAGTCTATGCTTTCTGTTGTGCTGTGAGCCTAAACTAGCTCAAAAAACTAAAACAAACAAAAAACCATAAAGTCCCCGTTTTATCGTTTGTTTGTTTTGCTAGGCATGTCCACACATGCTGTGGTCCCAGCATTGGAGACGCAGACAGGAAGTTCCTTGGAGCTCTGGATTCACAGTGAGACCCTATCTCAAAACTATGATAGACATGGATTCAGAAAAGTGCTCCATGTCAGTGTCTGACCTCTACACACACATGCATGAGCATGTACACACATACATACACTTCTTTTTAATAAACTAAATATAAAATATCTTAATCGTAATCTCAAAAGTACAACAAAAAATCCAAGAGACACTTAATGATGTCAAAATTTATCTGCATTGTTCAAATTTTTGAACAAGTAATTCTACTTCTTAGAATTAATCTTAAAAGAAATAAATTAAGAAAAACTGATAAGGGTATCTGTGTAAAGATGTTTTCACATGTGATAGCCACACCAACTATTACAGAAGCTGCATCTTTATGCAAGCATGAGGAGATTCAAGAAGGGTATTCATCTATTTATTGTTTGTTGTAGTGATACGTTATTTATGATTTATTAAAGCTTGACTGAGGATTCAGAAAGCAAAGTCAGCCATAGAAGCCAGGCACACACCTTTAATCCCAGCAGCTAGGAGGTAGTGGTACACACCGTTAATCCTAGGACTCAGGATTAAGAGACAGGTGGATCTCTGTTGAGTTCAAGGGCACCCAGATCTACACAACAGTGAATCAGTCTAAAAGAGAATTATAGCTCACACCTTTAATCCCAACATGAGGGAAGTATATAAGACAGAAACAAGGTCTCAGAGAGGCATTTTTTTCTCCAATCACACTGAGGAGAGACGGCAGTTTTAGACTTGGTAAAGAGCTGGTGCGTGGATCAGACTTTCAGCCTGAGCTAGAGGTGAGAGCTAGTGGCTGGCTGCTTTGCTTTTCTGATACTCAGCTCGAAGTTTGAACCCCAATATCAGTCTCTGGGTCTTTTTATTTTTCATGCTACAGTTTGTTTGTTTAGGGACCACTCTCAGTATGTAGCCCTGGCTAGCCTAGAACTCACTATGTAGACCAGGCCGGCCTCAATTCACGCCAATCCACCTGCCTCTGACTCCTGAGTGCTGGGATTAAAGGTGTGCACCACCATGCCTGGCTGTCATGGAGGACTTTAAAAACAAGGGGGAAGCCAGGCAGTAGTGGTGACACACACCTTTAATCCCTGCACTTGGGAGGCAGAAGTATCTCTGTGAGTTTGAAACCAGCCTTGTCTACAGAGCGAGTTTCAGGACAATCAAGGGTATACAAAGAAACCCTGTCTCAAAAAAGGGGAGGGGGTGAGGAGAGGGGATGTAGAGTTCAATGTTGAACAAGAAAAAAGGGTATAAAATAAACACATAGGCTGGCCCCCATGTGTGCTAAAAACCTCGTACAATAAGGGAATGTTAACATCTTCCTTATTATGTCTAGTTTGAGAGGACAGCAGATTCCTCTTTCTACATTGTAGTTCCCACATTATGTTTGTAACCAGAAGAAGAAAGTATGTGGCTTTTTCTTTTACAGCTTAGAAATAAGGACAGCGTGTTTAACTTTTAGAGTTCTTATGCAGATGA